TTAAGTCTGAAGTGAAAGGGCTGGAGCACCTTTAAGGAGGAGGGACTACAATCGTGACACATAACTAATATTGCCCTATAAAATAGGCCAGTGCCATGGCACCATGTTTATTTAGACAGGGTAGGTACGATGGGCTGGCTAGGGCCCTAGGTGTCCTGGTGATCCTCTTCAGCTCAGTCCATTCAATTTAGGGTGGGGCAGCATCCCAGCCCAGCCACATAAATATGTGAAGATAAGTTAAGTCAAGGTAATGAGATGATGACCATCTCCAGTCATCAATAGCACAAGCTGTTATATTTTCAGACCTGAATGTGAGAAAATATACTGAACATATCGTAAAGTATATCTGTAGGTGATACTTCCAGAAAATGTAGGAGACCCAGGACTGATTCACTAAATGTTTGCTTCTAGCACAGAAATGAAAATGACAGACTTGCCTTTTTCAACCCACATCTTTACAAACGTGAGGTCCTTTAGACCCTCCGATTATACTAACAGGAATGAGTAATGAATATATTTTTTGTTTCTTTATTCTGACCAAGTTCTTTTAAAAAAATATGGTGTTTGGTTTTGCTAAAGTAAAGATACTTCAAATATGTTATATTGTGAGTCATCGTGTCATTGGATAACACTGGATTTCTAATGTTATAATTATAACATTAATGTTATTAAATAATGTTAGAACCTGGGAAAAATATTATCATTTATTTTACCTGTACATTAAGACAGTTAATATAAGTTGGCTTTGTGTCAAGAGTAATCTCTCTTTTTAAACATAAAAGTGTAAGGTTTTCCCTAGAAAATGTCAGGAGGAGTTTTAGTTTTTGCCTTGTCTATGGCACAAACCATGTAATGTTTATTAGAATTTTCTTAAGACTGAATTGATGTTCAATATAAAAAAAACTGCAGTTGTGAATGTCTTGTGAATATTGCATTTAATAAAAGGACATGTCTCGAATGTTTTCTAACTGCTCAGTCTCACTTAAGTGGAGCTGAATTGTAAATAATTGATCAGCAGAAAGAGATGTTGCTGTGAGCTGTCTTAAAGAGGTGCACCACCTTTCCTAACCACAGCTTTTTTACAGCATATAGAGGCCATCACATCGAAGCTCAAGCACACCTGTGTACCTTAGGTAATAAATGCACAGCTTCAGCAACAGTTTATACAGTATCTTTGTTTAGGTTAAAGGTGGTAATAGACTTCAAACCTGCTGGCGCTTAAATACTGCAGCTGCACACCAATGCAAACCTCAGAAAATGAAATGCAACCAACTCACAGAAGGTGTGCTTGCGTTTTTATGTGATGGTTCCAGGAAAACAATGAACAAATTTTCTTGGTTAACTCACAGGAAAAACACAGTAATTGTGGTTGCAAAAAGTACAGGGTGGCTTGATATAAATATTTCAAATCCTGAAAAGTATCAATTCGAGCCAGAAAACTAATTCAAGAACCAACTACTCCAAGGACAGAAGCACAATGCTTTATCTAGTCTCCTAACTGTCCCCAAAGCCCATCTACTTTCTATGGGTGACAGGGCCTTCTCCTGTTATGCCCCCAAGCTCAGGAACTCTCTGCCCAAGGATATCAGAGAGTCACTAAACCTTCTCTAAACTCCTTCAAACCCAGACTCAAAACCTTCTTCTTTAGAAAAGCTTTTACTTAACTGGTTCCATTCTTCACCCCTTTGCTCCT